TCTCCGGCCGTTTTCCCGAGCCGCCCGCCACGCGACCACCGCCGCCGCCGCCGCCGACGCGAACGCCGACCGCAGGTCCGCAGCAACCACTCGCGCATACTACTGCCTCCGTCCCCCGCTGCACCCGCTGCTTTTCGTCTCCGCGCAGTCGTCCGATGGCCAAGCGGCTCGCCGCCGCCGAGAAAGAGGTAGGGGCATCCCGCCACGCCAGCAGCACCCGAACCGGGCTGGCCTCCTCGTTTCGCTCACCCGTTTGGTCTGCGCCAGGTGCTCGTCGAGGTGGTGAGGTTCACGCAGAAGAACGGACTGAGAGGCTGTGACGGCGGGTGGAAGGATTTCCTGGCCCGGAACGACAGGAAGTTTGGCGCGTCGCTGAGCGACCCCAGGAAGCGCACCAGGGATGTGCTGCTCGCCTTCCTGCAAACCTTCTCCAAGGATTTCCAGAAGGTTGGTTACTCTTTTGTTTTCTTCTTCACACTTCAGTTCAGCATGCCTGGTTTCACTGGCATCTGCTGCAGTCTATAAGCGGCTTGGTAGTTGGTACTGGTTAGTATTGGTGTTGATAGTTAAAACGTCGCAACATTTTGGTTCCAGTACTTCGGCAAATTGGTGAAGCGTCATAAGGAAAGAAGTGCCGTTCAGCAGTATATGACTGATTTTCCTGATGAAGTTTCTCCCGAGCAGGTGATATGTATGCTAGATCATGCCATTTGAATTTGTGCATTACATTGAATAGGACTGACGCCTGGGTGTCAAGCATCAGTTGATCAACAATTGTATTGATGTGCATGCTAAATGCAGAAACTTGTTCAACTGACGGCAGAGCACCCGGAGTACAGAAAACACTATTGCTTCCCATCATACCAGGAGGTATGAGCTTTACTGTGCTTCTGTTAATCCACGAATGATGATTAAGCCCTTTTTGGATTGTATATTTTCCTTGGTGATCTTCCTTTGATATATCCTATTCATGATTTAATGACTAATTCTTAAACAGTGTAGTCCAATAATCTTCATGATTGCTAATACTCTGCCTAGAGTTGCACCTTATCTTGTACTCTTCACAAAGGCATGCTTTTTGCTACTTTGCTAGTCGAAATTCTAAAACAAATGACTGATTTATACTCTCATCCCCATAATGGATGAACCTTTTGTATCCACATTGTTTGTCTCATAATTGATAAAAAAAGAAACAAACAATGAGACCGATCCATAACCAGCTATTACTGGTATTTTCAGGGGTGGAAAGTACTGCGGATAGGAGAAGTCTCTAGTTTAATGAGCTCAAGTGCTATGTTGGCAATTGACTGTGAGATGGTCCTTTGCAATGATGGCACAGAGGCTGTGGTCAGAGTCTGCGTGGTAGATGACAAGCTAAAGGTACTAGATTATTTAGTCAGAACAAGTATGTTAAGATTCATGGAACTATCGTGTGCATTAATGGACATTGCTGTAATGTTAGATGAATTCAATAAAGTTTCTGTCAAAACTTACACAATACATATTTCCTTAGCATTTATTGACTATGAATCAGTGAATCATGTCAGGGATTTCCATCTTTGTTCCAAGGTCTCACCATATTCTCTCTTTTCTTCTCCAGGCTAAGTTGGACATACTTGTAAACCCCTTGAAGACTATAACTGACTATAGGACACACATCACTGGTGTATCAAAGAAGGATTTAGAAGGAGTCACATCATCATTAGTTGATGTTCAGGTATATTGTCTTTAACATCTAAGCATTTTCTCTGAATATTATCTCATGGAAGTTATATCCCTTCTCTAGAAATCACTGAAGACAATGTTGTCCAAAGGAAATATTTTGATTGGCCATAGCTTACATAGAGATTTATGCGGTAAGGTGTGGTTTTTATTTTGTGTCTGATCTATCTGATGTATCAATCGGATGTGTACTTTGTGTTTACTTGAACATGCTTCTTTTTTGTTTTTAGTACCATTTAATTCAATTCGTCTCATTCTCTTCTCTTTTGCAGCCTTAAAGATTGATTACTCTCAAGTTATTGATACAACATACATATTTAAGTATGCAAATTTACCTACTACTGCATCACCTTCCTTAAACAATTTGTGCAAGGTATTGCCATAAAGTCACAGCACAGCATCTGTCTTATTATCTGCTTTTGTTTACTGAGGTGAACAAGTTTTGGCCGATGGTGCCAGTTAAAACTTAGTTCAGGATAGTGATTGCGAACCCACTTTGTCTTCCCTATTTCTCCCCTGAGTTTTGTACGCTTGTACTTGATAAAACTATATGTAGGGTATTTTCAACTTCTGTTTTAGCGGGGTTAAGTTTCAATGATATGTGATTGTATGTAACTATGAATGATGCCTTAATCTGTTGATTCTTTGTCCTCCTAGGCTACTTTGGGGTATTCTGTTCGAGAAGAAGGAGAACCACATAATTGCTTAAAGGATGCAGAAGCTGCGATGAATCTAGTTCTTGCAAAGCTTAAGAATGGGTTTAATGACCCCATTGAAATTGCTGCAAGTAGTGTAAGCAAAAAAAAAAAAGATGTTCTTAAATCTCACCATTAGTATAGATGATGCCACCTTACTTCTTTGTGATAACTTCCTAGGTAACTGAATCTGATGTGGCAAAGTTGCTTGCTCATAGAATTCCAGTGTACCTGCCTTGCCAAGAGCTGTGCAAAATTTTCTCTGGGAACCCCAATATTGATGACAAGGTTACCTTAAAAGTTTTATTTGTTCACCAAATATGTGTGTTTTTATGCAATTATTTAATAACACTTCTTTCCTTTTCAACAGATTGATTCGAGAATACGAGGTGAATTTTATTCCACGTGTATTTCATTCAATGACCTAGATGAGGTAGAGAAGGCATTTGAAGAGCTGGATGGCCAAAAGACTAAGGTACATATAAGGACCACATAATCATTTTCGCAATTGAATATTAGAACATATGAGGAAATACGCTACTGATAATTGGCTTTTGCCTACCATCTTACTGGTTTAATATCATCAATAGATTATTAACCCTCTGCCTTTTATCCTTCTCTTTAAACATGCAGGACTCAGGTGGGAGACTTCAAAAGCATGTACTGCTGAAGCGTGACAATGGAGATGTCGTGAGCTTCTACGTTCGGAAGATGGTATATGATTCCTGGTCCAAACGGCTTGAAGTTCCAAAGAAGAGACCAGAGCCTGCTGAGGATCCAGAGCCAAAGAAAGAGCATGTCGAGGGAGTTCAGCAAAAAAAGAAGAGAAGTAACTTCGTGAGGGATACTGAAGATCCAGAGCCAAAGAAGAGACCAGAGCCTACTAAGGATCCAGAGCCAAAGAAAGATCATGCCGAGGGGGTTCAGCAAAAGAAGAGAAGTAAAAAACACACAAATAAGGAAAATGCATCGGTGGTGGAATGAATAACTTAGTGAGAGATACTGAGACATTCCTGTTCTAGTGAATGCTGAGAGATTGGCGATGTTGTATTCTTTGAGAAGAGGTCATTGTGAGGTGTTTGGTCATGGCTTTGGGAAACCCATTTGAAGAAGGGCTGTTCTGGGCTTCTGACCATGGGGAACCTTGCCCCTTTACCAGATAGCATGCCAGTTTACCTCATCTCCAATGCTTAGTTGCTGCTCTGTTCTGGTTAAACTACGTGTTTCTGCTACATTGCTAATCGTCCACTTTACTGTCTGCTAGGGTTCATTTGCTTATTCCATTACACTGACTTTACTGTCTGCTAGGGTTCATTTGCTTATTCCATTACACTGACAGAGTTGAGCGTGTGGTTCAGAAAGTAGGATATTGTTAGGGAATTTTGTTTGAACAGATTTATTTTGTGGTAAGAATTTTGCTCCATAATTTGTTTTCTCGAGTTGGGCATTGCTATTGACTCTTGTTATCACACGCACTATGCATGATTTACTCATATTTACTTTAACAGTACACTATCAGTTTTCATATTTTGTTGAACATACTCCAAAAAAAAAGGAAAAGAAGAAGAGAACATGTAATGAAGCCATGTACTGTGGCTGTGTTGTCACTTGTCAGACATTCAAGCCCAGATAACCATCTGCTGCTCAGAATCGGTTACTAGTGTTGTGATCAAACTCTGCTGGACTCGATGGCTAAACGGGCGAAATCCAATAGAACATGTTGGTTTCAGCAATTCGCCAGAACCCAGACATCCACTGTTGACAACGGCAATGAGGGATGGATTTGCAGGCTCTGGTTCAGCGTCAACATCAGAAGAGGGCGACGAGCGGCCGAAATCCAATAGAACAGGTTGGTCTCAGCAATTCGCCAGTACCCAGACAACCACTGGTGACACCGACCATGAGGGATGGATTTGCAGGCTCTGGTTCAGCGTCAACATCAGAAGAGGACGACGATGTGCTCACTAGTTGCAGGAGAGAGGAGATGGTGAACCAACATCGAATAAGCAGTCCAGCGTTTTAAGACTTAGACAATGTGGCATCCAGCTTGTCTGCGATCATTGCGATCCAAGCCTGCAAGGAAGCAAGGAAGATCAAGTGGACGATAAGTCATTCTGCAATGGCAAACTGAAGTTCTTCAAAGTTCACAATCTATGGGTAGCAGTAGCAGTGTAGCACAGTTCCTAATTTTGGCCACAAAGCAGCACATTCATTTGCTAGTATATTTCAGGAAAAAAACATGAACTGGAGTATTTAAAACAAAAATCTTATATGCAGATACCATAACCAATGTAAATGGTAATACCTGATCAATATTAGTGAAACCTCTTATAGTGTCGCCACCAACAATTGCAATCCCTTTATCACCAATTGGCTGTAATATCAGTGCCTACAGAATATAAACTATGTTATAATGCTTTGGTTCAAATATTTCAGATAATCCCTCCATCTGACTATTGGATCATGTTTAATTGCTTATCTGGACATGAAAATAAGACTTCTATTACATTTTGATTCACAAGTAAATAGATTGTGCCTTTGTCTGTGGACCCGATGCTGGATGAAGCTGCAATCGCAGCGCGATTACCGCTGCAGCTCGGAGTCTTCAGCACCCCGCCAAGAAGATGTGCAGGCAAAGCTGCTGATGACTCGCAGAGTACTGTGGCTGATGTGGTTGTGCCGGGCAAAGGCCCTGGATAGGTGGCCTCCACCGATCCGCAGGGAAAGGTGGCTGATGTCACCGTAGCAGTCGCGGACATCCGCCGCTCTCTGAAGGACCGTGTCTGTTTGCCTCTCCAAACCCCATTGATCCGAGCAAGGCCAACGCTCAGGGTTCCTTGGGTCATACCAAGTGCTGGTTCTCCTAGGCGGAGTCGTCGCTTGGCAGCTAAGTCTAAGGCTGCCAACCCAACCCTGCAGGCTCAAAATGTGCTGATGGCCAGGTTGGGACTTGCAAACACAGCGCAAGATGTTGACACCACGGCTTTCCAGAAGTACGAGTCCATGTTCGCCAATCCACTGTCCAAGTCTAAGCACGAGGCCTTCAAGGTTCTCTTCCAGGATGACGCCTTCCTTGATGACTTTGCTCAGGAGGTCGACGAGCTTCTGCCCATGGCGTTCTAGGCTATAGCAGCATCCAGGGTAGTCCTTTGGTCGTAAGCTTTTAACCATGTAATTCATAGTTGTTTCCGGGTGCGAGGCGAAATCTTGGTAATCGGGCGATTACCGTGATTGTGGCCTGTTGTTATAACGTTCCTCTACTTCTTTTTAATGAAATACGTGCCAAAGGCATGGTCACGGAAAAAAAAATCAGCTATCGAGACATAGAACAAGTATCAATTGCTCGAATATATGCTTCAATTTAACAATATCTCTAAAATAAAGCAAATCAGCACCTGTGTGTTAGCAGGCAAGAACGGCAATTCAGACCTCCCAGGATACAAAGCAAGATTTGCCAGATAAGATTCTGCAAGAAGACTATGGTGAAGTTTCTGAAAACAAATGGAAAAACCTTCCAATGAACAAGATATACTCACGCTTCTTGGATTCCATGACACTTTTGTAAAGAGAGCCTTGGATGAACTTTTGTGCATCCACATTAAGTGCATTACCATCTTCTGGAGATCCCGCAGCAACCCCGATTTGAAGAACACAATTACCTCCATACACAATAACCAGTGATTTGCAACAAGTTGCAGTAGTGAGCGAATCCCATGTCCTATTTGTAAGAAAAATAAGGAATAGCTAGCTTCACAACATAAAACCTTTGAAAAACTGCATATATGAAGTCGTGGATTCATACAAGTCAGGGCATGATAAGCTAGTTAATGGTTACCACCACAGGTTTAGTAAACTCAGATATATTCAATTAGTACAGCATTATAATTGACAGGCTGTTTTATTAGGAAGAGTACCACACGATCACCAACCACCCTAAAGCAGCGCTTTCACTAAAAGGTGCACGCAATTATTCAGAGTCCAAACTCAAATCGCAGCTGGCTATTACTTGAACGACCTGTCACTGTCAGCCGCTAGTGGCCCATTAGGTGAGATTTTCAGAGTAAATACCCCAAAACATTGCTTCATCTAGAAAGATGTATGCATTTATTCAGAGTCCTACTTCGAACGGCAGTGGACTATTGTTACCATATGGAGCTATCACCCGTAGCCGTACATCAGGTGAGATTTTACTACCCAAAAGCTAGCATTCAGAGTTCAAACTTAACTGGCAGTCAGTTTGGCTATCATCTAGCAGTGGCGCATCAGGTGAAGATTTTCGGATCATGATTCAGGATCACTCTGAAGCATGCAGTGTTCAAATGGTAAAATCAGAAGAAATCTGTGCATCGCTATACTACTTACCAAAGTAGTTCATGGAGAGCATAACTTGACACGCCCGGACCAACTCGTTTACATTCGACACCTTTAGGAACCACCTAAGATCATATTTAGAATTGTGGAATCAGCCAAAGACATCAGAACATGCGATTCGGAATACAAGAAATGTGCGGTTCAAAATCTTAGTTCTGACCGGAGAAATGGATTTCGGACGGATGGATAACCAAACGAGGCCGGCAAGAATATCAGTCACGGAGAGAGCAAGGGTCAATATGTCAGCCCTCGACTGCGAACTGTTTACAGGGGAAATAGAACTAATGATGAGTACACCAAAATCGCAGCAATTCTGGGTGTTTGCATGCACAGGCATACCTGGAGGCGTCGGCGACGGCGGCAATTCCTGAGACGGCGCGGTTGAGGAGAACAGCAACGAGGGAAGATCCGCCGACGAGGATGGGCAGGCCGCGGACGAGCGTGTCGTTGCGCCGGACCCAGCCTTCCACCCACTCCTGCTGCCGCGGCAGCAGCGCCCTGCTGATGCAGCGCCGGCGCACTTCCTGCAGAAGACGGAGAAGGACCCAATTGCTGAAACCATCACCCCGTAGAAGGCAAGAGGACCAAGCGAAGGGCACGAGAAAACTCACCACGGTAGAAGACGACGGCGGCGGTGAGAACGCTCCGGAGGGAGGACCGCAGCGTCCGTGGCAGGAGTAAACCGACCGGAGCGGGGGAGAGACAATGCCTCTGCTCAGCTCCATGCCGTTGAGGGACGGGCAGCCGCAGCCCGCAGGGCAGGGCGACGCGCGGAGGACACGGGACAGTCCGCGACTCCGAGTGGAGGAGTCGAGGAGATGATGAGCAGCCGCAGGACGACTCGTTTCAAATGGGCCCTATGCGTCACGGATCATATCTTTGGCCCATCTTCCAAGCGGCCCGGGCAAATCGCGTGATCCAACTACCATTCAAAGTGGGCCCTGCGGGACCACGTAGCCTTGAATTTTTTTTCCTTAAAAAGAGAAGGAACCCGCGCGCTCGCCAGTCACCAGTTGCCAGCGACCAAGCGCGCCAATCCCTCACGGCTTCCGTCTGAACCTGCCACCAAGCATCAAGCCATGGAGACGGCAGCGGCACCTACCACGGCGCCGCACGTGCTGGTGGTCCCCTTCCCGGCGCAGGGCCACACGCTGCCGCTCCTCGACTACGCCGCCCTGCTCGCCGCGCGGGGCCTCCGCCTCACCGTCGTCACCTCGCCCGCCAACCTCCCGCTGCTCTCGCCTCTCCTCGCGGCGCACCCCGGCGCCGTCAGCCCGCTGACCCTCCCGTTCCCTTCCAACTCGTCTATCCCCCCGGGTCTCGAGAGCGTCAGGGGCTGCCCCCCGGAGTACTTCCCCGTCTTCATCCACGTGCTCACCGCGCTCCGCGAGCCGGTCCGCGCGTGGGCCACGTCGCGCCCGTCGTCCGATGACGACCCCATCGTCGCCGTCGTCGCCGACTTCTTCTGCGGGTGGGCGCAGCCTCTCGCCCGCGAGCTCGGCGCCGCGGGCATCGTGTTCTCGCCGTCCGGCGTCCTCGGCGCCGCCGTCCCTCACTCGCTGTTCCGCCAACTGGTGAGGCGGCCTGCTGCTGCCGAGGGCGGCGGCGAGGAGTCCAGCGTCGTCACGTTCCCGGCGATCCCCGGTGAGCCGGCGTACCGGTGGAGAGAGCTCTCGATGCTTTACAGGTGGTACGTCGAAGGCGGGGAAGAAGACGAGCAGGTCCGTGTTGAACCAACTGTAATCGTGTCAGTCATGTTTAGGTGCATTAGGTAGTTCATTTTCAGTTTGAACATCTTTTGTAATCGCGTAGAATCAGGGCGGAACGGAGACTGCACGTTTGCGTCTTGACCGCGTTCAGGTTGGGCTGGGTCTCCGCCATGGCTGGATAGCCGTGCATGTCGCACGGGCGCCGCAAATGACGGCGCACCGTGCAGCATCGAGTCGTGGCGGGACTCTCGGATCACAGCCCGGTTAAGTAACAAGGAATGCATCCAGATCAAGTGGGCGCCATTCGTAGTGAAAACACTTTGTCTCTCTCTCGCGTGAACTCGTGCTCTCGCCATTGTTAGGGGTCGCCGCGGTCACCACCGGCCGGTGCCGCGTCGTGCCGAGCTCCTCGCCGAAGATCGGCTCCGTGAGCCCACCGTCGTTGCCACCGAAGAAAGTTCGTGTTGTTCCTCGCCGGTCACCGGTGATCAAGATGGGAGACGAACAGACGAGTGTGCACGGCGTTCCCGGCGTCAAGGAGAGCACTCTCATGTGGCCAATGCTGTCCCGCGACAACTACTCCGAGTGGGCGATGCTAATGCAGTGCAATTTCGAGGCCTTGGAGATCTGGGAGGTGATCGACCCAGGTACCAACCCGAAGCGCTCGCAGGATCGTCAGGCCATGAGTGCGCTACTGCGCTCGGTGCCAAAGGAGATGTGGCAGTCGCTTGGGAGGCACAAGACCGTGAAGGAGGCGTGGGAGGCGGTGAAGGTGATGCGTTTGGGTGCCGATCGTGTAAAGGAAGTCAATGCTCAGAGGCTCCTGAGGGAATTTGAGAACATCACGTTCAAAGATGGGGAGTCGATTGAGGATTTCGGCATGAGGATCACAAACCTCGCCGGAAATCTCAAAACCCTTAGTGAAACCGTGGAGGATGTGCGCGTTGTGAAGAAGTTCTTGCGCGTCGTTCCTGCCAGGTTCACGCAAGTGGTCGTCTCCATCGAGATGTTTTGTGACCTCAAGACACTGACGGTGGATGAGTTGGTGGGGCGTCTGCGAGCGGCGGAAGATCGGTTCGACGACAAAGTCGATCAAATCGTCGACAAGATGGGACGGCTCCTGCTCGCCGAGGAGGACTGGCTTGAGAAGCACAAGCATCGTTTCCATCCCGGGGCCAAGCCGGGTGGAAGTGGTGGCGGCGCTGGTGGCAGTTCGTCAAAGGGCAAGGCGGTGGCGCGCTCTGACGGCGGTGCCTCGGGCCCGATCAAATTGACCTCCGAGGGCACGCCGATGAGGAAGGGGCGATGCCGCAACTGTGGCATCTACGGCCACTGGGCGGAGGACTGCAAGCGCCCAAAGAAGGAGAGAAAGAAGGAAGGGCGTGCACCGGAGGCGCGTGGCGGTCGGGCGGCGCCGACATGCTAGGGCGGCGACCGATGCCGGGCACGCGTGCGATGTCGTGCACGGCAAAGACCAGATCATCCACCGACGGAGAAAGTGGTGCGGTGAATGTACACGACAGCGTGTGGGTGCTGGACACCGGCGCCGCAGAACTACATGACCGGCGCAAAAGGTCGACATCATCGCACATTCGACGAAGCGATCCGGCGGGACGATGCGTTGCGTGACGGCTCTAGTGTTAAGATCCAAGGTATGGGCTCATGAGTGATACAAGATCGCGATCAAGGTCATAAAGTACTGCGATGTTTACTACATACCGAATTGAGGAGTAACATAGTGAGTTTGGGTCAGTTAGAAGAGAAAGGCTTTAAATATGTGGGAGAAAATGGGAGATTGTGTGTTTATGATCAGGAAAGAACACTATTAATTTCTCGCACCTAGAGTTGGCAATGATTGTACCTAGCAAAATTTGGGTTGGCACCACAAGATGCTTGCTTACACAATCGGAAGATGAGTCTTGGCGTTGGCATGCTAGATATGTGCACATTAATTTTAGATCTTTGAATGACCTAAGTGCTAAGTCAATGGTAGATGGGTTGCCAAATGTCGGAAGGGTAGAAAAGGTTTGTGATGGATGTGCGGGTAAACAACATAGAAAACCATTCCCACAAATGTCAAGTTTGAGAAAGAGATCATGGTCTTGAGTTAGTTCATGCAGATCTCGTGGGCAAATCACACCTAGTAGTATAGGGGTGCTTCTTATTTTCTACTAGTAGTAGATGATCTCTCTAGGTATATGTGGGTTGATATGCTCAAGACTAAAGATCAAGCACTAGATAGTTTCAAGAGAATTATGGCTAGAGCTGAAAATGAGTCTGTGGCAAACTCAAGGCATCGAGAATGAGATAGGGGGAGAGTTCAACTCTAATCATTCACAGCCATGCGATCAAGGAGGCATTAAACACTACACTACCACCCCATATACTCCACAAAGCAAAATGGAGTGGTAGAGAGAAGGAATCAATCAGTTGTAGAGATGGCAAGGTGCATTAAAAAGCAATGAGTGTCCCATCGGCGCTGGGGGAAGAGTGAGACTGCCGATCTATTTGTTGAACAGGTCACCTACTAAGGCCCTGAATAATGTGACTCCTTTTGAAGCTTGGCATGGTAAGAAGCCCAAAGTCAATCACCTGAAAGTTTTTGGTTGTGTGGCACATGTAAATTGGTTGGTCCTGGTTTGCACAAATTGTCCTGATGATCTAAAAGATGGTTTTCATTGGTTATGAGTCAGGCACTAAAGGGTACAGATTATATGATCCCTCTACCAACAGGTTGGTGGTGAGCAGGGATGTAATATTTGAAGAGAATGTACCATGGAACTGGGATAATACTGGGTGCAAAGACAGATCAAGAGTGATGATGACTTCATAGTCCATCGATGAAATGACCAAAATCCGACAATAGCGAAAATGCGGAGACAATCTTTGTCTACCCAAATGCAGGAGCGAGGAGTGGATGGGCCGCAGATCGGGGTGTTGCTAATAACTTTCAAGCACCTAACTCTCCTATTACTCCAGGTTCAAATTCTGATCAAGCTATTATTTTTGCAACACCACCAAGTCAGAACTTTGAAGAAACCTTTGGAGGGCCTCTCAGATTCAGAACACTGAATGATCTGTTGGACTCCACTGATGAAATACAAGACTATGATTACAGTGGTGTGTGCTTACTTGCTGCAGATGAACCAAATGGGGTTGATGATGCTCTACAACAAAAATGCTGGGTAGATGCCATGAACAGTGAGCTGCAATCAATACATGAGAATAATACTTGGTATTATGCTGATCTTCCAAAAGGTCACAAGGCAATAGGTTTGAAATGGGTCTACAAAGTGAAGAGGGATCCTGAGGGGAACATTGTCAAGCACAAGGCAAGACTTGTTGCAAAAGGATATGCTCAAAAGTATGGGGTGGATTATGAAGAGGTATTTGCTCCTGTAGCTAGATTGGAGACAGTGAGGTTGATGCTTGCATTGGCTGCCAATGGGAAGTGGGAGGTGCATCACATGGATGTAAAATCTGCTTTTCTAAATGGTGAACTACAGGAGGAGGTTTATGTGCAACAGCCTCCAGGTTTCCAGAGCTCTAAGCATCCTGGCAAAGTACTGAAACTGAAGAAAGCCCTCTATGGACTGAAACAGGCTCCAAGGGCATGGAATGCTAGGTTGGATCAGGAGTTAGTCAAGTTGGGGTTCTGTAGGAGTGAAGAAGAACATGCAGTGTACAAGAAAAGGAGTGGTGACACACTGTTACTCTTGGGTGTGTATGTTGATGATATCATCATCTGTGGGCATGATAAGAACAAGATCAATCAGTTCAAGCAGCAGATGAGCAGAACTTTCAGCATGAGTGACTTAGGGTTGCTGAGTTATTATCTGGGAATGGAGGTGAAACAAAGGCCTGGTGACATAACCATCTGTCAAAGAGCATATGCATCAAAGATTGTTGAACAATGTGGCATGACAGGGTGTAATCCAGTGGATACACCAATGGAGCAAAATCTAAAACTGTTCCCTGGGAAACCTGAGATGGTGAAGGATATGTCAAAGTTCAGAAGTGTTGTGGGTAGTTTGAGGTACTTAGTGAATACTAGACCTGACATCTCTTACTCAAGAGGGATGGTCGAGATTCATGGAGTGCCTCATCTTTGAACATTAGGCCGCCATAAAAGAATCGTAAGATGTAAAAGACTACGAATATGGGTGCGGTACCACCACCGGTGGAGCATTTTCAAACCTAAGGCTGTTAGGATACTCGGCGGTGATCATGCGGTGACTTGGAGAAAAGAAAAAGCACCTCGTGTGTGGTGTTCTTCCGAATGGAAATGTGGTCACCGGAGCTCTGAAGCAAAAGAGTGGTGTCACTTTCAAGTCGTGAAGCGAAAGTACATTGTTGCAGCTTCTTGATTTTGTCGGGGAGTTTGGCTAAGTAGATTGATTGCAGACTTAATCGGTGAAAAAGTGAAAAGCTTCGGACTTCTCATGGATAGCAAGTCAGCCATTGAGTGAGCAAGAACCCCGTTCATCATGAGAGGAGCAAGCACATTGACACTCGATATCATTATATCGTAGAGAGTGTGTGGCAAATGACATAGCGAAGTTGATCACATCAAGACCGACAGCAGGCTTTGCGGACATCTTGACGAAGCCACTTGGGAGAATCAAATTTGTTGAGATGCGTCGGCAATTGGGAGTCGTGGATGTGTGTCACGATTAAGGGGTGAAATGTTGAACCAATCGTAATCGTGTCATCATGTTTAGGTGCATTAGGTAGTTCATTTTCAGTTTGAACATCTTTTGTAATCACAGAGAATCGGTGAGACGAGATCGCACGCTGCGTTTGCGTCTTGACCGCGTTCAGTTGGGCTGGGTCTCCGCCATGGTGGATTGCAGACATGTCGACGCAGGCGCCGCAAATGATGGCGCACCGTGCTGCAAAGAAGTCGTGGCGGGACTCTCGGATCACAGCCGGTTAAGTAACAAGGAATGCATCCAGATCAAGTGGGCGCCATTCGCAGTGAAAACACTTTGTCTCTCTCGCGTGAACTCGTGCTCTCGCCATTGTTAGGGTCGCCGCGGTCACCACCGGCCGGTTGCCGCGTCGTGAAGCTCCTCGCCGGAGATCGGTTCTAACGATCCATTGCGAGTCGGTGAGGCGGAACTTCCTCTGGAACGTGGAGGAGAGCTGGGGTTCGTGTTCAACTCGTGCATTTGGAGGGGAGGTACCAGGAGCAGCCGCCGAGGACCTGGGCTTCAGCTCGTCGGGCGGTGGGCCCCGTGGCGCTGGCGAGGCGACGCCGCGGCTCGCGCGCGGGCGGGAGGCGGCCGTCGCGGCCGCCACCTCGGCGCATGGTTGGACCCGTTCCCGGAAGGCTCGGTCGTGTCGCGTGTCGTTCGGGAGCCGGCGGTGTCTTGACCCGGCCAGAAGCGGGCGGCGCTTAGCCGAGGCGCTGGAGCGCAGCGCCGTGCCGTTCGTCTGGGTCGTGGGCGCCGGGAGCAGCGGCGTCGTCCCCGAAGCGTTCGAGGCGCGCGCGGCAGAGGCGGGCCGCGGGATAGTGGTGCGCGGGTGGGCGCCGCAGCTGGCGACGCTGCGGCACCCGGCGGTGGGGTGGTTCATGACACACTGCGGCTGGAACTCGGTGCTCGAGGCCGCCGCATTGGGGGTGCCCATGCTGGCGTGGCCGATGACGGCGGACCAGTTCGTGAACGCGCGCCTGCTCGTGGACGAGGCGCGCGTCGCGGTGCGCGCGTGCGCGGGGGGCTTCGGCGTCGCGCCGGACTCGGGCGAGCTGGCGACCGTGCTGGCCGACGCGGTCGGGGAGAAGGGGCGCGACGTGAGGGCGCGCGCCAAGGAGCTCGCGGCGGAGGCCGCGCGGGCGGTGAACGAAGGCGGGAGCTCGTACGCTGATTTGGACGGGTTAGTGCACGAGATTCGGAATCTTCGTTGAATTCGAGCGGATCGTCATGATAAATTGCTGCGCCGGCATGCTGTGATGCTGTATAATTTAACTGGTCCCCTGTCCTGGTCGACAATAATCACATTCATCAATAACAAAAGCTCGGTTCAAAGGAATGCATTCTTCACTGTCGAGGCTTCATTTGTTTTCTCAGCATATCTAAAGTGTACTTGCAAAGAGCATCTGCACAATAATCCCATAGGAAAGGATACTCATACTCATAGTTTTTGGTGTGCATTTTTTTTGCGAATAGTTTTGGTAATTGACGGCACATGATTAGGCTTAACTTCCGGCAGCTTCCGCGAAACATTTGGTACGGCTTCTCTGACTCGTCGCAAAAACTGTTGTTGAAGCCAGACCGGAAACATCACCAGACTCCTTCAGCTGCAGCTCGCGTACGCAGAATTTTGGTAGCACCCACCCGAACTGGTATTTTTTTTAATTGAATGAACAAATGTGGTCACAGAAGGTTGCTTGGTTGTTGTTCTTTCCTCCCACACGTAATGGACAGGACCTGCCGTTTATAATTAATTATTAAAATAGGGGAACGTTTGGCCTACGCCACAAAAATTGAGGACTTGTCTGAAACGTAGGAATTTTATAGAAATTACATAGGAATTTCACAGGAATCAGTTTAATTTCACATAAAAAATACAGAAATAGGATTTTTTCCCGCTATCTAAACAAGTGCTTAGGGCCGGCGGTACCCCCAAGCACGAGTCTTCTCTTTTCTTTTTTTTTTTTTTTTGAGGGAAGAGCCTCCTCTTCGATCTTAGCAACGAAAAGGCCATCGAGGAATGACATTGTTGAAAAATTAATGTGTTCAGTTCCTTCCAAATCTCTCAACAAACAGGGACCAACAAAGAGCACAGATCCTTTTCTGGTATCGTGGTTGTTGCTTCACCAATCAGACATACTCATGAAGTGATTCTACCCTCCTCGTGGTGGCAGGTCAGCAGGATCATGAGCAGGCCTCTAACTGAGTTTGTTAGATGGCTCTAATAGCACTTCTCTGGTCTTAGTTTGGACTTTTCGTGATGGTAAATTTTAGGCTGAGATTAAACAAATCACCTCATTTATCCTATGCCAAAGTACAGGTCTAATCCTCGGCTCCAATCATGATCATTCTCATATGAACTATAGTGTCGCTGTGTATGGGCGGAACATGGGATGAGAGGTTTTCTCGATCTACGTAAAAAGATGAGAGAATTTTCTGAGAGCCATTATAAAAGATGCAACTTCCTTGCATGACACTGAAAAATTTCATTTTCTTTGTCAACCATCAGTTCACAAATTTCATCCCCTCCAAGCCACCGTCGTGAACTTTGCCTGTAACAGGTCCTAACAGGGGCTCTCAATGTCCAAAGTACCCCTTAATGAACATGGATTGGAAAAATTTGCTGCTTCCTTCTGTGCCACCACCGACAGCTCCTTTCCATTAAAAAAAACGAGCGACGGAAGCCTGATCGGCTGTTGGTTTTGCTGTTGGGCTGGCTGTTGTGGCTATGCGCAGCCCTTGGGCTCGCTGCTATAGTGCCTTGGCACCTGTCCAGCAGCAGCTGCAGGCTGCAGCATGTCTAGCACAGCCAATAAATAAGGCAATAAGCTCATAGATTTCGGCGATTATCACATAAATTATCATAGAAATATGGTCAGATTTCAGCAAGCCAATATCACAGAAATATGCTCACAGATTTCAATAAGCCAATAAGAAGGCAACATAGTTCTGGACACCTACTAACCACATAGGTTTAGTCACAGCCATTTTAGGCCAAGAGAAGTTAGACGGTTAGACCATAGTAGAGTTTTGGTCAAATAACCATTTCATAGGCATCACGTTGGACCACACTTTTACAGTTTTGGTCATACATGCAACTAACATACCAAAATCATTCCAAAATGGTTGCAAGAACTTTCAGGTTATATCAGCAACTGTCTCTTGCTCCTAGTTTCCATTGCAGGGCTGGATGGAGAACTCACACCTTGCTCCTAGTTCCCATGGCTGGAGAACTAGTGTTCTTGTCAGCTTCCTTCTCTGCTGCCTTCTTCTTGATTGATGCTGCCTTCATGTTCACTTGTGTTGTCCTCTTCTTCCCTGCTATAGATTTCGGGCCTGTTCGCTGGTTAGTGCTGGTGCTGGTTTGGGTTAGCTGGTGCTGGTTTTTTGTGAGAGGAAAACACTGTTGACTGGCTGGTTTGGGCTGGCTGAAACCAACAAGCGAACATGTTGTTCTCCTTCTTTGGTGCTTTTTCCTATGTTGTTTCATGTGGAGAAGGTAGCAACATGGGCAATGGAATTGGGTCCACCTGATTGGAGCCTATCCCTGATCTTTTGGTCCAACAAGAACATTTAGTTTAGAAATGTTATGTTTCCTTCACAACAAGCAACACAGAGGAATGTCTTACGTGATAGATGCAGTATATGATTGAGTCATAGAAGGGGACTTTCTCTTCCTTTTGTTGGGCCTAGGGACTGATGTTGAAGTGCTCAATGTTGCTGGAAATGTCATTCTAGGGGCAGTGAATGGCACAATGCTAGTCTGTGTTGTACATGTAGGGGTTGGTGCTACCTTCTTCTTTGGCTCTCCCCTATCATTTTTACAATTATAGTCAACTTTCGTAGTCATATTTGTGATGGTAGAACATACATAAATAACAGTACATACATAAATATGGTTACATACCTCTCTAACTTCATAGCCTCAATGTCAGCTGGATCCCCATTTTTGCAAGTATGCCAATGATGGCCATATTGTCCACATATGGGGCACTGGTGCCTACCCTTGTTCCCTCTTCCACCTTCTATGGTTGTCTTGAACCTTCTATTTTTTTCTCCTACCAGATGAAGAAGCCATGATTTAATTTTGGCCACATCTCTTTGCCAGCAATAGCAGGAATGATGCCCTCATAAGCATATCTGAACTTTTGAACTGAGAAATAATTGTCCACATAATTCTCAATCTTCTCATTCCTGATTGAAGTGATGAAGGCCAATGCATGTTTACAAGGCTTCCCAGACAGCTGCCAAGCCCTACAGGTGCAAGTCTTGTCCTCTAGATTTACAACATATCTAAATTCAGTCCCACCTTTGGCACACACCTCTGCATATCTAAAATCTCCGCCATCTGATACACTAATTACTTCCATGTCAATGTTCCTACTTTCCTTTTTCAACTTCTTCAAGATTGGTGCAAGTATAGTACCATCCATCTGCCTTGCAATTTTTCTTCTATTGTTCCACTTAACCATCAACTTCTGCCTGATCATGTCCATTAGGTCATCTAGGTGCAATGCCTTGTCATCCTTGATCCAATTGTTAAAGCTCTCAGCAAGGTTGTTTGTCACATAGTCAACATTGCTACATGTGGAAAACTGGATCCTGGTCCATAGCTTCTTGTGATTCTGCTTCAAATATTCCATAGCCTCTAGTTTTGCCTCTGCCATGGCAAGGTAGTTTCTGTCAAACCAATATGCATTCCAAGAATAAGCAATAGCCCACAAATGATCATCAAATACTTTCCCAGTCCATCATTTCTTGAAATTTTAGACCAAATGGCACATACATTCACTGTGTTCTGCTGTTGGGAAGACTTCAGTGACACCAGCCATGACTGCTTGGCCACAGTCTGTAGAAAATGTCAAATCAGCAGGGGTTCCTATTGCTTCCTGAAGCCTTTGCATAAACCAAATCCAATTGTCATTGGTCTATGAATCTATCACACCTACAGCTACTGGATACATCCAACTATGTCCGTCCACTGCACAAGCTATGCATAACTGTCCCCTAAACCTTCCTGTAAGAAATGTACTGTCAACTACCAAATAAGGTCGGCAACCATTGAGAAACCCATCAATGCATGGTTTCATTGCAAAGAATAACATATTGAACCTGATCTTGTCACCTACAGTATGATGATCAATCGCTACAAAACTTCCTGGACTAGATGATTCTATTTGCTCCTTGAATCTGAACAAATTGTCAAAACTTAATCCCCACTTCCCATACAATTGGTCAATGGCAAGCTGTCTACCATAATAAACCCTTTTGTATGGCACAAGTACCTTGAATTTATCCTTGATCCTTGTCTACAGTTCTATTGCACGAAATGTTACGTCATCCACTAGCCAATCTTTCACCATTTCACAACACCAGAACTTGGATGCATGCTTGACATTACCACTCCTAGTACTGCTGCAATCATGAGGAAAAGGATTCCTCTTCACCTAACACAAGAAAAAAAGGAATTATTAACATTGTTAATAAAATAACTACAAGGACTAGAAAAAAGACATAAGTTGGTACACATTACCTTAACTGTAGCATTGCCACCCATGGTAGAAGCATGGATCCTCCACTTGCAGCCATCAATTCTCGCAGAGCAGTAGGCCTCACTCTCCCTGATTCACTTTTCTCATTGTTATACTCAAATTCATTTATTATAGCATGAGTGGCTAAAGAAAGTTTAAAAGTAGCTATGTTGGGATAAATACTACCTACAACCATTGGTGGGTTATATTTGTCAATCACTACTTTAGGGACGTGAGTTGGAACTTTGTCAGTCACAGGCTCATCAGGGTCATTGTCAAAGTAAGGATCAGAACCCTCACAGTTAGGGCCAGTATCCTCATGATCAACATCACATTAAGAGTCAGTCCCTGGGTTCTCCTCATCAGGTGGGACTGGGTATTTCTAGGGTAGCATATCACTGTACAGGTTCTCCTCATCAGCTCCAGCATGCTCATTCTCTGGTTCAGGATTCATTAGGTAAACATCCTCAGGTTGTGTCTCAGCAGTTCCAGTGGTAGGATTTGACTGAGAAGGATGTGTCTCAGTAGCAGCTTGAATGGAAGGTTGAGATGTGGCTTGGCTAATTTGTGCAAGGCATGGATCACATATTGAAGGTGTGCTTGGGATTTTAAAGGATATAGGATGCACATCTTCCCAATCTGGTATGCTAGGTGGCCCACATCTAGGAAGGTGATGAGCAATCGACATGTAAATGCACTTGGTTTCAACATGCCTGGCAAACATAGCAACCAATTCTTGGTCTATGCTGACCTCAATGTTGGACTTAGACACAGGACAGTAGTAGTACACTTTCACTACCTCTCTAAAACGAGGTCTTGTCTGCATCTACCACTTTGTTAAAGCTAAACCATCGGGGCACCGAGTATTGCTAGAAATAATCCTTATTTCTAGATTGTAGCTTGACTCTTGCTCCATCCTACAGATGTAGTTTAACAGTGAAGCTACCCGAGATCGAACTTCGATAGCACATGTAATCTACTAAAACCAGAACTCAATCGTGGGAGTACAAGGGAAGACTTACCCCTTTAGAAGCCACGAAAGCATCTTGCAGTTCGAGATGGGGGATTTCCTGGCGCCGCCGCCTCCTCCCGTGCGCCGCCCGGGCACCGCAGCCCGCGCGCCGCAGCCGCCCGTGTGCCGCCGCCTCCTCTACTGTCGCCGCTAGTTGTAGGGTTTCGGTGGAGACAGAGCCGGGAAAGGAGCGCTCCTGGGAAAGTCACGAGCAAGAGAGAAGTCGAGCAGCTATGAGCCACGGGATGTACTGACCATGCAGGGGCAAAATGGCCATTATCTAAAAAAGGGCCAGCCACTTGCACTAAAACAGCTCAAACCACATACGGACGTCACGACAGTGGTCCATACGGCTCAACAAAATCAAACTGGTGGTATAGATGGAACATGAACTTTTCGGTGGTTACCAGGGAAACACTATCTTTTATAATGACTCGGAGGCTGTCTTAACCCTCGCAGGTTGTAGCTCCCCTAATCTAGTAGGAGAACCCCCAATGTATGAAGTGGTGTGCTGCTATCGTCTACGCCTCACGGGGCATGAGACAGAGACGACAGATCAGCTAATGAGTCCAATTCCAGTGGGCAATCTGAAATACACCATTGAACATCTCATGAATACTATGTAAACAACTTAAATACACCATGAAACATATCATGTTTATACTATAGGAACATTTTGAATTACAATGTGTATGGAACATAAATCCTTTCAGCCGTGGAGGATTCAAAATACATCATGAAACATCACAGAAATACCATGAGAATAATTCAGAATGCATCATGAAAGGTCTCATGAATCCTATGATAATAGTTTATAATGCACCTCATAAGAATTATAAAATGAACTTTTCATATTAAAAAGAAAAAGTTTGACTGAATCTTACCATAAGATCATGGATACAATAAAAATGATATGAAATTAGATAAATACAAAATGACCGTGAATACATAACAATAACTAAATGGAAAACAAAGTAAAAAACAAAATATAAAGGACACACCGTAGAACATCTCCCAAATATATGAAACCAATTAAAATATACCATTATACACCATGGTTTCATCAATACAATAAAAATGATGAGATGTACAACATGGAACACCTTATGTAATATGGGAGCTAAAAAACTGTGGGACATCTTAGGAATGCTATAAGAACAATCTAAAATACACCATGGAACATATTATGCATAAGAATGGACAATCCAAACACACACCGTAAAGCATCTCATGAGTACCATCGAAACAATAAAAGTACACCATATATAGAATGCTATTGGAACAATAAAAATAAACCATGAAAATATGTTAAAGAAATAAATAATAAATAAAACAAAATAAAAATTTAACAAATAGAAGGTAAGTAAAAGAAAAAAACTCACTTCAAGGAGAAAAGGCAAAGGAAAAAATACATAATTCAATGAAAATAATAGACATGAACCAACAAGAGAAGCCCATCCGTCTACCCCATTTTAATTTGGTACAAAAAGTCTAATGATACATCTAAACCAATCAAATAAGACTCTTCATAGGCTATTGGGCCGAACATATAGCAATAGCTTAGGGTAACTTCATGAGCCTTTTTATATATATACTTATTGATAGGAATATAGATTTTGGTAAAAAAAATATATATTCTGATAGCTTTTTTAATTAGATCTTCAAATATTACCACCCTCTATTCCAGATTTCTCGCTAGAAAGATGGAGAGCGGAGTTAGCTCTCTAGAGTGCGCACGGGATATAGAAGAGATGAGCAATTTTTATTCGAATGACTCTCCAAATGATGATTTAGAGAGTAAATTAAAAAAGACTTTTGGTAGGCTGCCAAACACAGTGAAAATAGTTTGCACCAGGTGGTTGAGGGATGACTTCCCTCTGGCTGGTAGCAAGTTTACTCAATCATGGACATGATGGGTTGAGCAAGGCTCCCAAGGTGCAACATCTTTATGCATTCGTGTGTTTGGTTGTTCAGTCTGGCCCTTGTGATGCAAGCTGCGTTTATTTGGATGATTATGTCTTATCCTGTCTCGGAGGATGATACAAAAAGATAGTAAACGCTCATAGGATACAGGATCCATCCGTGTTTCTATGTAGCCTGGCTCAGGCGAGGCTGCTCCAGATCAACCAGCATGCAACAATGCGAGCCAGGATGCCTCGTACGTGGAACCAATCAGGCCCTATCCGAAATTGGTCTGCATCATGGTGAGGAGCAATTTGTGATTATTCAGTGCGAATTGATTGGGTTAGAGCTGGTGTAAAAATGCACGGCCGAAGCCTGTATATATTTTGTCTCGAGTTCTCCGGCCAATTTCCAATATGAACATGAAATTAACCTATGTGAACCCCACGTTTCTGTGTTTTTTCGCGATCGGGTTAGACCCATTTTTCAACCCCACGTTTCTGTGTGTATAACAAAAATCTTCTCCTCTCCATATGTTTTTTGAGGGGTCACTCCATATGTTCACATCAAACGAGTTCAAACAATTTCATACGGCACGGCAAAAAGTACTAGTTGGTGAAAGGATTGCCGTCTCCGGTAATCACATCGATCAAATCAAGTACTAGTTGCAAGTTGAACTGGGGCCTGATTGCCGTCTCCGGTAATCACATCGAAATCAAAAATCATTCCGTTTTAGTCTAATTAGTCAACGTTTGGACAATTGTGCATCAGTGCAAGTTCATACTGATGTACCCAGCAGACGGCGGCGCCGATTCTGGCCTCAACTAAACGAGGCCCTGATGTACCCAGCGGAAAGGCCACTATATATATAATCCCATGCACGATTAACCTCAAACCATCAAACAAAGCAGAGCACGAGAAACTAAAAAAAAACAGAGTGAGAAGGAGCTCGAGCATTTCTTCAGGCAAGCAAAGATGGCCGGTGCAGGAGCTGTATCCGCCATGGCGCTGTTCTTCCTAGTCACGCTCTCCGCCTCCCAGCTGGTCTCCTCCCTTCGCCCTGGCGTCGGCCTCAGCACGTGCCGCGCCAGCGGGTACCTCCCGGGTCGCTCCGGCAACTGCGAGAAGAGCAATGACCCGGACTGCTGTGAGGACGGCAAGATGTACCCGCAGTACCGCTGCTCGCCGCCGGTGACGGCGAGCACCAAGGCCGTGCTGACGCTCAACAGCTTCGAGAAGGGCAAGGACGGCGGCGGCCCATCGGAGTGCGACAACGCGTACCACAGCGACGAGGAGAAGGTGGTGGCGCTCTCTACAGGGTGGTTCAGCAACATGGCACGCTGCGGGCACCAAATCAAGATTAGCGCCAACGGCAACTCTGTGTACGCCAAGGTGGTGGACGAGTGCGACTCCGTGCACGGCTGTGACGACGAGCACAACTTTGAGCCGCCGTGCGACAACAACATCGTTGACGCCTCGCCGGCGGTGTGGGACGCCCTGGGACTCGATCAGAACCTCGGGATGGTGGACATCACCTGGTCCGAGTGAGGCAGTTGATGGCTGCATTTGCTCCATCTGTTGGAACTTGATACGTGCCGGGAACATACATATGATTAGAGGATACAGGTCGTGGGCTTATTTCCATCACTAGTGTACTGTGTGCAGGACATGTCATTGCTACATATAGATATATGTCATTATTGAATATTGAATAAATACTGCATGAAGTAATGAAAGGCTGTGTTATCTAAATGCATACAAAAGCTAGCAATGCGCTTCACACCAGCACTACACACCAGTAATTTTCTTCTTCATTTTTCATGAATAAATATCACAGAGCAGATGCCAAAGGGCAGCTGAACTCCACACAAGTTCATGGGATTACCACAGTAAGCTCACAGAGCAGATGGTGCGAATTTAAGTTTGATTGAAATTTCAGCATTGAGCAGGTCAACAAAAACACAGATTTGAAGTCGAATCAGACATGAGCAATGCAGATGCTTCCATGATGGTAATTAGCTAATGTGGGTTTCATTAGTGGTACATACATATAGAGAATTTCTTCAGCTTGAACCAATCGCAGCTATCTCATACAGGTTCTACAAGCCTAGCCCGAACTGAATTCTGATCTGTTATAGGTTCGATGCTGCCATTTTAAAGAAAATATATGTCAGTATTCTGCTGAAAAACTTTAAATAGAAAAAATAAAGAGGGATGCTGTCTAGTAATACCAAATAAAACTTACCTATAAAGTATTTCTCCTCCATTTATCACCTTCTTTGATATCAAAGCAGGAGCCAGATCCTCTAAAATATGCAGCTGCTCTTCTATCTCCCCTATTAGTAAAAAAGACGATAGGATCAGCATAGCTCAGGAAACATCAAGTATAATTTGGAAGGTACACGGATCAAGTGGTCCTCATTACCAATCTCTTCTATCTCCAAGTTGTTGGCAAGAATATTGTGGAAAAGTTCCTGTTTCGTGATAAGTGAATTCTTGGTAGAACGAGAAATATCGCAGACTATGTCAAATGTGGTATGTAGCGAAGCCATCCTTTCCTGAGTATCCACTGAGTCTACTTCATTGATTTTGTCTTTATCAGTAAAGAAGACAGGACTATCTTCCTGCAAGGAAAAGGTTCATTTGGTCAGGAAATAACCAACAGGCAAATGAATTGGAACAACCTTGGAATTGTAAGTCTTCCACCTATTATTACAGGCTACAGCAAAAGAAAATAACAGAGCAGGAAGCAAGACATCTATTAGTCATACACCATGTCATACATTCTTTGTTTTATAATGCATTTGAGCATTTCTACAGACAACAAAAGAGAAATGGTCATTCTGTCTAACAAACTTATCACTGCGCCTCAGGGTATAAAATTCCAAGTTTATTGGTAAGTTGCTCTGGTTATTAGTAGTCTGATGGCTGACCTTTTTCCAAAGCATCAACAACTGTAGTGCTACCATTCTAGGAATTATTGAACAGTCATATATACCTATTCCCTGAATATTGTGTTAGATGAAGGTAGTTACTAGTTAGTTAAGAAATCTATTTGACATAACCCACATTAACGTTGTTAAGATACATAATTAAATGCAGAAAGAGCTGTCCATAGTTATTCCCGCAAACTGGGTTTTCAAAGAAATCAGAATCCAAGCACAAGCATTTGTTACTAGTTTATGTTATTGACTATAGCATCTGTGATCTTCTAGCATGCAATTATGTGCTATACAAACAGATAACAATTTTATGTGACGGATGGGAATCAGATACCTCAAATGACTTGTTAAAACTCGATGAGTCTTCTGAGATTATGCCCTTTTCAGCTGTAGTCGTATGTTCCATTCCATCATAATAAGAAGGGCTTCCTCCTTCAAATTTTAACGATGTATTTAGTGATCTGCGGGCAGAACTGGCTGAACGTGGTTCACTAATGTGTCCACATGTGACCTTGGGTTTCTCAAGTGGAGTCGGCAATGGCCTTTTTGGAGTCTGTATTGCAGGTGTTCCGGACAACAACGGTGACTCTGAGGTCCCTTGTTTTGGTGTACTCTCTTGACAACAAGAGATCAAATGGCGGCTTGGAGTAGCAGAAATTTCAGAGTTCACTGGAACTGGAGCATGTTCATCTTGCCTTTTAGGGTTTCTGTCTGACCCTTCTGTATCATAAGCACTCACAGAGCTCAGCTCTGCTGGATCAGATAGCAATTGAGTCTTTTCAGTTCCATCAGCAATGATTTTCTGTGACATGAGTTTTTGAAAAGATTGTGGGAAGTGGGAAGCATTTGAGAGTTCCTCCTCAGCGGCACCCTGCATAGGTGGCTCAGCAGCATGCCCATTATGTACTGCCTCAAGATATAACTTCTCCCTTGGCCTTGAATTAAAGGGTTCCGGTAGGATTGCCTCAGGAATGTCTGCACCCTGCATAAATAACAATTTGCAATGAGAATGCTGAGTGAATCATTAATTCATCATGGCTTGAAGACTAACATAATCAAAAGTGCATATAGGTCAACTCCTAAAAAAGAACATATAACTATATAGGTTCACTTGAAATGAGAAGACAGTACTTCAGTTGAAATGCTCTTAACAAATTAAAGGAAATATCACACAGTGGACATCTATTAATTAACTGCTACCTGAGCAAGGGCTAATTAAATTAAGTTTAGTACCTTATGATGAGCATCCAAAAATCTCAAAAGCTTCGAGTAAAAAGCCTCGCAAATTGTCATGGATGGAGACTGATCAGGGCTTGTGCATTCCACAACATCCATTACAAGTGTGATTTCCATATCAGCATACATGCATAGGCTCTTCTCATCATGTACTAGTATCCTCTTTATCTGGATTGCCTCTGGGAATAAATGCTTCATCTGGGCCAAATGACCGTATAATAACTTCCTGTAATGCAGAAAGATTATCATCCAACTGCAACAAGCAAACAAATAATAATAATCCATATAGATACTTTCATCGTCATTACTACCTTTTTGTGAGTATCTCCACCTGGGTGGCAATATTATTAAATGTAGCCATCTTCCTCCGTAGGTGAAGCAATCTTATAGAAGTCTCCATTCTATTGAAAAGATTCAGCAAATCCTTGTGTCTTCCATTGTGAACAAGAAAGACAAGGTGAATAATCATGGCAAGGCAGCACACATATGCATGAGATATTGAGATGAGAATAAAATGACTCACTTCTCAAGAAGTTCAATGCTTTCTGAAAAAAGAGATCGGCTACCACTAGGCGAAACACTTTCATTATAGTCTTCTTCATCTGTCTCACCCTCATCTTCCACCAGCTGATTTGCAAATCTGTCTTTGTACCTCTCTGCAAGCAAATTCCTTGCCAGTGAACTCACAACAACCCCTTTGCTTCTAGATTCACGTTTTTCTGGAGTGGGTGATTCGATTTCACTTCCACCATCTTCTGTCTCAGCTTTCATCTTGTGCACAGTTGCAGGGCTACTCGAATCATTATCATTAGACACTTGAGAAAATCCTTTCTCAAGGTCAAGCTGAGTAGTATTCGCCTCACTCATTTTCAGCTCCAAACACTACAATAATGGGACCATAAGTAATATGCTCCAAACTAAATCAAACACAAATCCTGAATGCATAGAAGTACATGGGTGAACTTCATAAAGTAGTACAATGCAATGTTATCCAAGAATGCTCCAAACTAAATCAAACACAAATCCTGAATGCATAGAAGTACATGGGTGAACTTCATAAAGTAGTACAATACAATGTTATCCAAGAGTAGCAAACATCAACTTATATGGTCATACTCATACCCATATCCCCTAGTAATGCCACAAGGTACTTCACAACTATCCAATCACGAATAAATATTAATTACTTCAAAAAAATCTACTTGTGGAAATATACATGAATTAGGGCCAATCTGTGCAGGATAAATCCAATGTTTTACATCCACCAGAATTTAGTGACAAGAGTGTGACAGAACGCGAGGTATCTTAAATTCTTTACCCCACCCCCCTCCCCTACCCAACAAAAACGCTGGACAGAGATATCTGCGATGTCCTATGAACTATGAAGTGCGCTAAAGGAAAACACGGAATTCTAGTTTGCCATCCCGCAAAACTGAATCCAAAAATCGGGTGAAAATAATTAGCTAAATAACTGAAAATTTGAGTGAGAACTGGCCACAAATTCCACAAACCCTAGACGTTACCTCACGACACAGCACAACAGCTGACCAGACAAAGCGCCTGCCGACTAAAGAGCTGCGCCACTCAAACCAGCGCCTGCCGACTAAAGAGGCGAAACAAATGGCCCTCCGGAGAGCGCATGGGAGCACACCCGTGTGGCAATGGGAGTGTGGGACACGAAACGAAAGCGTCGCATATTTCGCAGAGCACAAGCTAACAGAGGACCAGATCTTGAAAGTATACCTACAGATAGAGCTCGGGGTGCGCTCGGTGTCTCGAATCCGGAGGAGCACGGCGCTCCGACTCAGGATGTCCCCACGGGACTCGGGCCGGCGGCGGCGGTAGTGGAGGGAAGGGGAGGGAAAAAACGAAGCGGACGGCGCGGAGTACCGAAGGCGAACGGTGCCGCTTCAAAGTGTCGATGCAAACCAAAGCGAACGCATCTACAAAGTCGAGCCCAACGGCTATATTTTCGGGCCATTTTTATACGTCAGCATAAACGAGTCGTGGGCCGTTTTTTGTTTCGCACTTTCAGCCCGCTTGCCGTGCTGCATGTAGGCCGGCCCATTCCGACCCATAGTTTCTCTCCCCCACCACGGCCGAAACCGGATCGCAGCGAAAATGGATGCACGGCAGGTGTGCGCCGCCGACTCCGAGCTGGAGCTGGCGCGGGCGCGGTGCGTCGAGCTGCAGGACCACCTCGCCGCTTCGCCGGACCTGCCACGCCATCCCGCGCTCCGCTCCCTCCTCCGCCTCGTCGACGCCGAGCTGCGCTTCCTCTCCTCGCTCCGCCCCGCCTCGGCCACGCCGCTCTCCTCCAACCTGCCCCACCTCGCGGCGCTCCACCTCGTCCTCACCCACCCGGCCGTG